GGGCTTTAAAGGCGCCGCGTCCCGCAGCCACCCCGGGGGCGGGGCGACCCTGTGGGGCAAGTTGAAGTACCGCATGGTCTGCCCGCTCACAGCCGGTGATTTCCTTTCCCTACACGATCAGGATGACATTGGATGATTACGCCCCCTGCTTCCGTGGGCCTCACTTAAACCGTGAAGATGGGGAGAACTGTCCTTCCTGTGGTACAGATGGAACCACCAAGGCAGGACACAGCGCAGTAACTGTGAACCCCTAGGGATATGGTCAGTCTGTCGGTGACAGATGACAAGAAGGGAATGAGGCCCTGACCGGTTTGGCTCAGTGGACAGAGAGTCGGCCTGCGGACTCAAGGGTCCCGGGTTCGATTCTGGTCAAGGGCATGTACCTTGGTTGCGGGCACATACCCAGTGGGGAGTGTGCAGGAGGCAGCTGATCAATGTCTCTCTCTCATCGATGTTTCTGACTCTCTATCCCTCTCCCTTCCTCTCTGTAAGAAATCAATAAAATATATTTTTTAAAAAAAAGAAGTGAATGAGGTCTAAGACTGAGGCCCCTTACTGCCCACCCCACCCACTTGTACACCCCCAGGTTGGGAAGGTGTTTCTGAGGGGCTGGGTTGGGGGGCTCCCTAGGGTCCCAGAGCACCTCAGTCCTCCCACTTCTGCTCAGCCAGATACCCTCCATGGCCCCTGGGCAGCTCTGCGGGTGAAACCCAAGGGCATCCAGCACACCACCCAAGGGCTCTGCTCTGGTTTGGGCCTCTCGTTGAGACTGCTGTCCCCACTCCTTTGCCCACCTCCCATCTGCCCTCACCCCCTAGGAGTATCTGGAAGATTCAGACTCAGATTCAACATGTGTGCTCAGCACAAGTTCAGCCCCCCTAGCAGCTGTTCAGGGATGCTTAGAGGATGAATGACTAAGGGAGTGACCTGCAGGAGAGCTAGGAGACTGACTGAGGACTTACGGAAAGCCAAGCAGCCCCACGCCAGGCATTTTAAACTCTCATAGTCCTACAAGGAACCCTTAGCCCATTTTACAGATGAGAAATTGAGGCTCAGAAAACTCAAGCTATTTGCCCTAGATTATAGAACTCACAAGGGTCAGGGTTGGCATTCAGGCTCTTCCACTGCATGAGGCTGCCTGTCCCCACCAGAGGAAGGGCTCCTGCCCAGCCGGCCCAGCTCACCCTTCTGTAGAGCCTGGCATGTGGTGGGGGCTCAGAAGGAGTCGGGGCAGTGGCTGTAATTAGTGCTCACCCCCTCTAAGAGCTGAGCTAGAATGAGGAAGGGGGAAGGAAAGAAAGATGCTCTGCTGCAGGCGTGCACCCAGCCTCTTGTTCTTCACGGGACACGAGAAACTGGGCATCCAAGGAGATGCAGCCAGCACTGTGCCCAGTGCATAGTATATGCTCGGCTCCCCTGAGCCATGAGAGGTGCTGCTGCAAGATACTGAACTTCCCCAGGAGGTAGCGCAGGAGGGAGGTACCTTTGGAAAAAGGCTGTGACTTTGATCACCTGGTCAAGGATAACAGAGGTTCATTGCCAAAATGCCAGTGGCCGTTTCCCATTACACAGGGTGACAGCTCTTGCTCATGGAGATAAGATGGCAGCAGAAACCCTTCAAGGCATAACTTCCCCACTTGCCTCTTCATTTCCTGCCAATCCCCCTCCTCCCCCCATTCCAACTCCTCCCGGGGAAACAACATGCCACCTCTGTCTTGCCTCCAACCCCCCAGCTCAGAGGCCCTTCTCTGCTGCTCTGGCTGCCCAGCACCACCTCCTAAGGGCAGCCCTCTGTCCTGGAGGGAGTGGAGGCTCTGCTCCGTGGGCCCAGGATCCTTGCCCACCCACGGTCCGCCTACTTGTGCACTCACATATGCCATCCATTCCCCCCTCTGCTTCAATTCTAGCAGCTGCTCAAGGCCAAGGGGACACTTTCTTTTTCTCTGTATCTTGCCCTGAGGAGGTACAGTTGCATGGATGACAGTGGAGCATGACCCTGCCTCCTGAGCCCCTACATTATTGTGTTGGTGGGAGGAGGGGGCTCCAGAGCTGTCCCCTTTGCTGGCAGCCAGAGTGGGAAGCTCAGACTGGTGGAGGCTTCCCATTGTTAGGACTGGCTTGGGATTTTCCCTTACCCCTCCCCCCTTGAGGGTGTAGAGGAATCAGGGGCCCTTCCTCTGGCAGTGTAATGGGGAGGGTGCCCCAGGAGCCAGGGGATGCCAGGCCTGTCACCATGGTAACAGCTGCTCTTGGGAAGCCAGAGGTGGGGAGGGGTTATGGAACAGCCCCTCCCCCATACAGATGCTGCCTGGGAGAGAAGAGGCCTCTTGGGCCGCCTGCCCACCCACCCGGCTTTGTCACTCGATCCCCCTCTTTACAAAGGTGGAACAATACCCCAGGCGCTCACTGAAAGGGAGACTATGAGGAGGACCGGAGGGGACTGGGAAGAGGGAGATTACCATCAACGCCCACCCGTTTCTGCTCTACTGGGCAGAGGGGGCCAGAGGGGCAGGCGCAGTGGGAATGGAGTCCCTCTCCTGGGGGAGACACCTCCCTTCCTGGGGCCCTCGGCTGTGAGCCCAGTTGCCCTGCATAAGTGGGGAGGGACACCTTCCTGACCTCTGTCCCCCTCCCACCACTCCAGTCTCCCCGAAGTCCCCATCCTGAGGCCCTTCCTACCACATCCTCCCTGACTGTAGCCACCACTCCCCTCCACTGGGCAGATGCTGGTCCTTCCTTCCCAAACTCAGCTCTGATCTTTTTTTTTTTTTAAATATGTATTTTATTGATTTTTTACAGAAAGGAAGGGAGAGGGATAGAGAGTCAGAAACATCGATGAGAGAGAAACATCGATCAGCTGCCTCCTGCACACCCACTACTGGGGATGTGCCCGCAACCAAGGTACATGCCCTTGACTGAAATCGAACCTGGGACTCTTGAGTCCGCAGGCTGGCGCTCTATCCACTGAGCCAAACTGGTCAGGGCTCAGCTCTGATCTTGCCATTTACAGGACAACCCCCACCTGGCGCCCGCCTCTGTGCCCTGCACCCACCACACCTGTGCCCGTCTCCCCACAGGCCTGGGAGCTCCTGGGTAGCTTGTCACGTGGCTTGGAAGGAGCTCTCATAAATGTATGAAAAGAATGTCATGAGGAGGGGGCCATAGATCCTTCTGGAAGAGGCTGACTACGAGTGGGGCCTGAGATTAGGAAAGGGATGTCGATTGGACTCTTGGGGACAAAGGTGTCTGTGAATAAACAGGAACTAGAAGGAGGACCGGTCCTGTATTTCTTCCAGGTGCTCTGGACACCCCTCGGGAGGCACGATTGGTGATGGAGGACCCAGCAGGTACATGGACACACCTGCTCCTGGGCAGGGGCGGGGTGCGGAGTGTCACTGCAGCCTGCGCAGACAGAGGTGAGCTTTGGCATGTGTGTGTGCTGTGTATGGGGCATGAAGGGTGAACTAAGTGTGTGTGTGCACCCAAGGACATGCAGGGGCCTGGTTATTCCTGTGTGTGCCTGCCCATGCACTGGCAGGGCTGGGTAAGACCCTCAGGCAGGCCTCAGGGAATGAGCCCACCTCCCTAAAGCTGGAGCCCTGGTACTCAATCAGTTTCCCTTTAAGGAGATGTCAAGGGCTGGACTAGACTGTTTCGTTTTTACTAAAGAAGTGTTTTAAAAATTCCTTCTTAGGGCTTTACACTTTTCACAACTAATTCAACATTAGAGATGAGCAGAGAAATAACACAATCATTTCTTCCTCTTCTTACATACAATCCCAGCACTCAGCTAATCAATATAGAGTTCAGACATCTCATCCGGGCTGGGGGCCCAGTGGTTGGAGCGTTGTCCTATACGTTAACAGGTTGCAGGTTTGACCCCAGGTCAGGGTGCCTACGGGAGGCAACCGATCGATGTCTCTTTCTCACATCGATGGCTCTCCTTCTCTAAAATCAATAAACATATATCTTTGGGTGAGGATTTAAAAAAAAGTTCAGGTATCTCTTTTGATACTTTTGTCTAGACTTTACAAACACTTGTGCTAAAATGGAATTAATATAGTACATTTCATGCCTCATTTTTTCCACCTAATAATCTATCATGAATCAATGGATGAATATATGGTAAAAATAAGTAAAATGTTAATGGTAGAATCTAGGTGGTGGACATTCAGGTACTCACTATAAATTTTGTTAAACTTTTCTGTATATTTAAAGTTTTTCATAATAAAAGTATTTTTA